GGTTTGCCGCGTCCATCCAGTTCTGGGTGAATGTTCCGTCCCCCGTGATCAGTGGCGTAAAATACCTTGCATAATTAGTTGCACGATCAATTGCATGAGAGGGTGAGATAAGTAGAAAAACTGTGAAAAAAACGTGAATTTTGAGTTTCGACGTAATTATATGTTTTCCCAAAAGACGTAATCATATGTTTTCCCAAAAATCCGTGCAATCACCGCACACTTCTGTAATCGGATCTTTTAGGACCTCATCGGATGCCTTCACATTCAAAATTATCGTGGCACATTGGTCGCCTAGCTCTGAATTGGCCAAAAGTCAAACAATTTCTGAATTAATGTTTTGTTAATGCTGTCATTCCGTACGTCTCATAGGGTTGGCGAGCCATGGACAAAACTAAAGCCTCGGACGTTATTCGAACCAGTACTATGTTTACTTAATTACTCCACTTATTTACTTTGTTTTTTATTTGATTTTGCCACTAAAATATATATAATTCCTGCACTGAGTGAATAGATAACATTAAGTATAATTATAATACGGTCAAATGTCATTTTCGTTAAAAAGCCTGCTTTTCAATTAATGTAATGTAATGTTATTCAATTTTGCAAAAAGCAACTGTAAAAAAAGAACTTGTGCTAACCCAAAACGGAAATCACAGCACCGCCCACGATACTGCCGATACCCTTGCCAACACCATGGTAGAGCAGTTGTAGGATGTACTGCGCTGATGATTTGATATGTGCTGGAGCGATGAGCGAAATGTACGATGTCGCTGACGCCCATACCGTCGCCAGAGCGAATCCTTAAACATCATCAGTGATTTCCAAATTTCAAATTTTTTTTTTGCTAAGTGCATGTCAGGAATTACAGGAAGTGATGCGAAGAGGTTTTTCTGTGAGCTCCTCACTATTGGAGCGAAACAAAGAACAACTTCTATTTTTTTTCCTCGTAGCAGAAGTTCGTAAATATTTTCGAGGATAAGTTTTGCAAGTTTCTCCCTGAAGTCATTGAATGTGAATGTTCAATATCCTTTTTTCACCTGTCGAAATTGGTCGATTTCCAAAGTGAACGATCTCTAGAAGGTAAAATGACTCTAAATTTGCTTTGTGGTTACTTCTGTGAGCCAAACAGCACTAATTATACTGAATGAGTTTTTGAAAACGCTTTTTCTCGATCTTCTCGTTTTCGTCCGATCTTTTTAGAAAAATAGCTTAATACAAAAATTAGCTTAACCTAGGTGTGTCTACCTTGTAAAACCTGCAATGGAAGCGTGAGCCATGGGTTGTCCAGCCAGCTGAGAATCAGGAATCGCCCCATATTCACGGCGAGGCAGATGTACATCACCTGTAAAACTTTATACATATTGAGCGAGAAAAAGTATATAAATAGAAATAGTTGTAACGGTCATAGGCATTTTTCTAGCTTAAGGCGTTTGTCCCTACAGATCAATCAAAAATCGTTTCGGCTAGCCTATTCGAGAGTATTGGATTCTTAGTGATGCTGAGGCCTGGACTGAGGTTCATATGGAATTGAGGTTACTTGCTTTCGGCTTTGTTAAAATCATTTTTGCTTTCATACTCACGAGTATGAAAGCAAAAATCTTTTCGCACAGTATTCTAGCTCACGTCTTCCTGAGCAACCAGAAATTTCTTCGTCTCGAGGCCTTGTTTCCCGAGAAATGCGCAGTCTCTTTGATTTCACTACACTCCGCCAGTTACATTTGGGACTGTGGCGAACTCCCGTTTCTTTTT